TGCCAGCCAGCCCCGCCTCCTGGTGGGCTGAGCTGGCCACACATACACACACACACACACACACACACACACACACACACACACAAATAAATAAAAATGTTTAAAAAAAAAAGAAAGAAAAAAGAAACTAGAAGGTAGAAGTGAGAGGTGATTTTAAAAAATGAATAATCACAGTTATATCTTTTGTCATAAAGGAGCAGCAAAATGAATTTAAAGATAACAGAGGTAGAATAAAAGCAAGTAATAAGTAAAGATCAATTGCCTTAACCTTATTTATGTGTTTGATTTTATTTGCATATTTGGTGAAGGAGCTTTAGAAGATTGTACTACTTCAAACAAAATCAAGGGAAGGGAAGAAGTTAGAGAAAATACAAATATGTGACACTAAGTGTCTGTATAAGTTACAGAGACATGTGAAGAAGCCCAGTGTGCAGGCTGATTTGCTGTAGTGTCGTGGAACCTCGGTGATATCAGAGGAGGGCCAGCAGCCCGATCTCTGCCCATTGCTTTAAAACTGTAGTGGTCCACACTGATAACAGAGCTGATGGGCTGGGGAAATGGCTCAGTAGACTAAGCGCTTGCCTGGCAAGCGCAGGGTCCTGAGTTCAATCCCCAGTACTGCAAACAAACAAACAAAACTGATCACAGAGCTGAGGAAAGAAGATCATGGGTTCAAACACAGCCTGGGCAGCTTAGCAATTTAGAGAGATCATGTCCCAAAATAGAAAAGGAAAGAAAAGGCTGGAGATGTAGCTCAGGTACAAAGACCCTGAGTTCAATCTTCTGGTATTAACTAATTAATTAAAAAATGAAAACACCCTTGAAGCTGAGGCAGTATGATCACAAGTTCAAGGCCAGCCTGGGCAATTTAGCCAGACCCTGTCTCAAATTAAAAAGGGGTGGAAATGTAGCTCCCATGATAGAGCTCTTGCCAGCATGTATGAGCCTGCCTCTGGGTTCAGTCCTCAAGACTAAAAAATAGAGCACCTTGTGCTGAATAATAGACTGACTATAAATATTCAGTGAAAGAAGCAGGTTTTAAAGGATTAGAACAGTTCTGACTTCCTGGTGAGGAGAGGGGTAAGATTGGAGGTATTGAAACACATGCTCAGATTAGAAAAGAAGCTAAGGAGGGTTACATGCTAAGACACTAAGTTGCCCCTCTGGGCTCAGACTTTCATTCTTCCTTCTTCAACTTCCCAGAGTAATGGGATTATAAGCACCATGCATGGATAGAGTTGTTTTTTTGTTTGTTTGTTTTGGCAGAACCAGGGTTTGAACTCATGCCCGTGTGCTTGCCAGGGAAGCACTTATTCCACTGAGCCATCTCCCTGGCCCCTAAGAGACATTTGGCTTTTTTTTTTTTTTTAATAGAGTATTTTGCTTTTGAAATTTTGTTGATTTGTTTAACATAATAGAGTATATGCCTATTTAATTCTCCCAAAGAGAATGGTGCAGTTCTGTAACCTGTAGCCTTGAGGTCCTCCTGCAATGCATTTCTGAGTTAAATCCCTTCCTACCTTCATCTCCACCATCGTTCTCCCAGTCACCATCAATCAGCACCCTCCTGACCATGACTATTTGATGAGATCTTTCCAAGGTTAATTCTTAAACCTAGAATTCTGGTGAATTAACACATCTTTAAGAGCTGTAATTCCTTCTTTAACCATAATCTAATTTCAAGAGGAAAGATCTGTAAATGTCTGTGTGATAACTAAAGTACTCACACGCCAAAATAGTTCAAAAGCAGTAAGTTTTGTTATTAACATCCAACATTCAATGAATCAGGCAAAACCATTGAGAACAATGGGAGGTTTTTCTATAAAACTTCTGAAAACCTTTCATTTTACATTGTGTATTTACTTATGAATTGACTTTTATTTCAAAAAGTATGTGAACTTTGTCTTTCTGAGTTTTTTAGCTGAGCATGGTGGCCCGTGCCTGTAATGCCAGTCTCTCAGGAGTCTGAGGCTGAAGGACGGAAAGTCTGAGGCCAGTCTGGGTAATGCGGATCCTGTCTCAAGATAAAATAAAAGGGGTGGGTGGGGTAGCTGAGATACAGACCTTTGCCTAGTGTGCAATTCAAAAATTCTTTTCTATAGGGATTCTTTCAGGTACACCCAGCCAGGTCACAATTCTGCATGTCTCCTGATTCTGGATATTTTCCCTCTGCTAATGTTAGCCCCTTTGACAGCATTTTTTTTTTTTTTTTTTTTTTTTTTGCAGCACTGAGGATTGAACTCAGGCCCTTGCGCTTGCCAGGGAAGCGCATATTCCACTGAGCCATCTCCCCGGCCCCCTTTGACAGCATTTTTAAGGAAAATTCTGAACTCATTTAGCCCTCTTCCCAGAACTCTTTTTCAGTTCACTTTGTTAACCTAAATTTCTCTAAGAGGTTTAAGTATTTTCAAATATTTTATCTGCCTTGAGCTCATATACTGAAAGGAGTCAATATTCTAGTACCCATTAGGGTACTAGAATAAATAGTGTCCTAATGTTAGTCTCTTGCTGGGCACATGCCTGTAATATATAGCACTTGAGAGGCTGAGGTGAGGATTGCTTTAACTTTAAGGCCAGCCTGGGCTTCAAAGTGAGTTCAAGGCCAGTGTGAACTGCATAGTGAGACACTTGAAAAAATGGACCAAAAACAAACAAACAAAACCAGACCAAAAAAGGTCATGTCCCAAATTAAAGAGGCCATGCTAATAGGTGACCTGAGAAAGCACAGGTCAAGAGGCCAGAGGAGTGGTAGTGTATGGCCAGTGGAGTGACACCATCCCCTGCCCATCCCCCATGTCTCTGAGGAGCTGAGAGGCCATGTGGAGTCTACTTGCCACTGCTGCTCCACTGCTGAGCACTTTGTTACACTGATCAAGACTTCTGGGGCCAGGGAGATAGCTCAGTAGAATAAGCACTTGTCTGGCAAGCACAAGGGCCTGAGTTCAATCCCCAGTTCCACACAAAAAAAAGATTTCTGCTTTGCCTCCATCTGCTAGTTCGGGAAAAATCAGAGACTAGAAGATCCTGAGGCCTGGAGAAGCAGCTAGAGAAGGCCCTGGGGGAGGCTTTAGGATCCTCTCCTTTACTCCAGCACCCTGGCTGCGAGGAAGGAGGACTGAGGTGCCTTCCTTGGACACTCCTGCTCTCTGTCCCGTCCCCCCCCCCAGATGCGTTACAAAGCTTCAGATGATCTGTGGCAGGCACTGCTGAGCACAAAAGCAAGCATGCTGGGTAGAGTGGCCATGCTGGGCATTGCCGCACTAGTGGTTACGTGGACGTGCTGCCAGGCAGTCGGTACCCCTGTGAGTCCCGCTCACTTGAGCCACGAGGGAGACGTTGGAAGAATCAAATTGGATGGCTTCCCCATGAACAGCAAGCACAGATGCGAAGACAGGCCTGATCCGCTCCCTGCAGACCCTGCTCACAAATTCGTTGGCCTTTGACACAGATACGTTCTGCCTGCACTGGCCTAAGCCATTGGCCAGAAAGGGCCAGGGAGACTTGAAGAAGTCACGGCTCAGAATGTCCTTGCGGGAGAGACTTTTTTCTTACTACTGGAACTAAGCAGCCATCCCTACCAAAGAGCAAGCTTGGGCCAAGCAAGCTACTGTGGACCTGTGCGCTGAGCTCTGGAGCATCTATAGCCAAGCCACCTGATGTGTCCTTTCGGGACACATCCTTGAGTGGCAGCCCCTATGATGACCTGAAGGTGGTAACAGCTGACCATATCCAACCCATTGTGCCCCTTGTGCTGGAGCAGGGCCTGTAGTCTTGCATCCCTGGCAAGGACATGGACATCCCTGGTTCTTCTGATTCATCAGAGTATTTTCTTTGTGGTATCAGTTACTGGGACCTGTGTAGTAGGAGGTGACCTTCCCCACAGACAGTGGCAGACACCTTTGAGAAGGTAGTGGTTGGCTCCATTCACTCAGCCATAGGCTCCTCTTGGACTGTATGATCCAACCAGCACTGCCCTCAGGCCTTAACACTAAAAGTGATGAGTGGGACAGACATCTCCTCATTGACTTCCTGCCACCAGTGACCCTTGGTGGCATTATCTTGACCAGACCACACTGACCAGCCCAGTGTGACAGCCTGTGGTGGCTGAACCTGTGAACAGCTAAGACAGTGCTCTCAACAGCTTAAGCCAGCACCTCTGCCTTCTTGACTGATTTCAGAAAAATCAACTTGCACCAAGAACAGAGTAGGGAAGACAGTGTTTGGTGACAAAAATAGAAACCACTGGGTAAAAAAAAAAATATGGCTTGGACCAGGCAGACTCAGGCTGCTGACTTCTGTGCCTCAAGATGCTCATGGCCATGTGTAAGTCCATCCCAGCTCTGAGTCCCCTCACTGCCAGCCACTAACCACCATCATCCCCCACTTGGCCCAGGAGGAGGCTGAGTGGTCTCCAGACAGGCTGGGTGATGATTCCTGCAGGCCCTGAGGGCACTCGGAGGCTGAAGTCCTGCCCAGTGCCCTAAACTGCAAGGGGAACTTACTTGCAGAGCTCACCCCTGAAGAAATCAACAAATGGGGATCTACTGTCGTCTCTTCTTGTCTCACCCGGAGCTGCCGCTGCAGACCTAAGGCAGGAGGAGGCCAGAGCAGCCATAAGGTGGTCAGGCTGCGGATTCTGTGTTGGAAACACAGAGTGGCTACGTAGCTGGTGCCAACAGTGTCCCTAGGTACCTCCTGGATTTTGTCCTGGTCATTTCATGCTGATTAGAATAGCATCACTTTGGTCACCAATTTTCTTACCCAGCACTTTCTATTTTTGTTACCAAACACTGTCCTCCTTATTCCCTCCTTAGTGTAAGCTGATTTTTCTGAAATGAATTGAGAAGGTAGAGGTGGCTTGAGCTGTTGGGACCATTTTGTCCCAGATGTCCTCTTTGTCTGCCCAGCCCTGCCTTTCATTCCCTTCATATTCAGTGTCTTCTCCTCTCTTCTCTTTCTGCTTTTTGTTTTGCTCTTGTCCCTGGGGCATAATTGCCTACTCAAGTTGTTGCCTTTTAGTTAAGTATCACAGAAGACAGGTTGGTCAGCTAAGCTGCAGAGTGATTCGTGAGACAATCTTTGGGGCTTCTGGGGGTGAGGCTGGCAGAAGAGCTGGTGTTTGACCCTGATTTCCTAGAAAATGAGCTCATCCCTCCACTCCCTAAATCAACTGTTCATAAGTGACAAGAACATTTCTCCTGGGGATGCTGTTATTGACTCACATGAGACACACAGGATCAGAGCTATTTGAAGTTTGTATTTATTAGTGGTTGGTCATCAGTGCACAGGGCAACCAAGAGCTGGCTCCTAGGGCCTGGTGGGGGCCCTGCATGCTGCCTGGACCTCATCTGTGACTGCCAGGTAGACAGAAGGGATGGTGGCTGCAAGGGCAGCACCTCATGTGGATGCTGGTGTCATCTCTTTCCTTCTTTATTGCCAATAGGACAAGGCCTTGCAGGAACCCAGGCTCAGCAGTAGAGCCTGAAGGAGGAGACAGCAGACTGAGTGTCATCTGGGAAATCCAGTCACTGTATTTTCTCCTCTGAAAGACCTTGCCTTTCTAGGATGTTACCTTAGAGCATGAACAGGCCCAGAAGCCAGCTGTTCTGCCTTGTGTCTACTGCAGCCCTGGGAGAAGGGTGTTTACTGAACTATCCTGGTACCTAGAGAGGCCGAAGGGTAGGTGACCGTGCACAGCCCTCTTCCCCCTCATCCAGTCTCTCCTGGCACCTGGAGAGTGTGGTGCTATCCAAGAAAAGAGAAGACATAGATAAATCAGGAGAAAAAAGGTGGGTACTCCCCACATTCCTTCTTGGTTCCCGCTGCTAAAGTGTGCTATCTATGGCAATGTAAATGTATCCTGAGGATGAGAAAGAATGTTCAGTACAAAAATAAAAAATTTACAGTCCTCAGCATCCAAGGTCCTGATCCTTCAGGTGAGAGAGCTTATCATTATTTTGCTTAGTCACAAATAGAAATAGAAAGTATATGGAGACAGTGAGGAGAGAATCAGGTAGAGTCATCTCCCCAGCTCCACCCCACTCCTCATCTCTTAAGGAGGAAAGTCTTGCTTTTATCTTTTTGAGACAGGGTCTCACTATGCAGTTCAGGCTGGCCTTGAGCTCACTTTGTAGCCCCAGCTGGTCTCGAATTAGCAATAATCCTCCTGCCTCAGTCTCCAAGTGCTGGGATTAAAGGTGTGCACCATCACGCCAGGCTTCATAAAGTTACCCTTATTGGAAGAAAGGGTCAGCTATATGATTTATAAGTGCAAGTGACCTAGAAGCAGGCTGGCAGGGTCTGTTGGCATATGCCTGTAATCCTAAGGCCTGAAGATCAGAAGTTCAAACTCAGCCTGGGCAACTTCATGACTTCATGAGACCTTATTGCACAATAAAAAGTAAATGCAGAAAGTGCCAGGGGTATAGTTCAAAAGCCGAGTTCAGTCCTGAGTAACACACACACACACACACACACACACACACACACACAATGAATGAATGAATGAATGAATGAATGAATGAAAATGTCAAAGAAGTGGCAACCCACTTTGGGGTACCCCTTCTATCCTCATATAGAAGCTTTCTTTCTCTCAATAAATTATTCCTGGGGCCCAGGAGATAGCTCAGTAGAATAAACGCTTGTCTGGCAAGCTCAAGGGCCTGAGTTCAATCCCTGATTCTACCAAAAAAATTATTCCTTTTTTTTTTTTTTTTTTTTTGTATTTTTTAGTAAGGGTCTATAAGGTCTCACTACGTAGATTGGACTTGAAGTGATCTGATCAGCCTGTGTTCAGCCTCCCAAAGAGCTGGGATTACAAGCATGCGCCACCAGCCCAGCCTCAATCACTGTCTCAGCATGCCCCGGGCCCCGCCCCAGCAGGCCAGGGATGAATCCCATGTGCTGCATCTGCAAATTATTCCTATACTTTAATTTTATTTATTTATTTATTTATTTATTTATTTATTTTTGCCAGAACCAAGGATTGAACTCAGGCCCTTGCGCTTGCCAGGGAAGCAAGCACTTATTCTACTGAGCCACCTCCCTGACCCCTAGATTGTTCTTTAAATGTGAAAGAAAGAAACTTCAGGTTCTCACCCTGACTAACTATATATACTGATACCTGTGAACTAAGCTACTACACTCCAGATGGTAATTTTAATAGTAGTTTCATGCTTGGAGTGCCTGTCATTCTGGTCTACTGAACATGGACTTCTTGTCATGACATGCCAGTTGCTGCTATGATGTCTCTCAGGTAGATGGTTGTTCAAGAAGAAGGGGGTGGTGAAGGAAAGCAAGAGACAGGAAAAGGATTATTGTGGGACTGTCCTGCTTCAAGGTTGTATATGGTGAGATTTTTGGACTTATGTGCAAACATGAGAAGTATATAATTCTTTATGCCTATTTTTAAAATATATTCTAATTTTTAAATGTTTTTTTATCATATTCTGTAGGGACTTAAAGTTCAACATATCAATCCTTGATGAAAAATCCTTGATGAAAAAACCTGTTCCATATTATGCCTAAGATGTTTGATATGCAGACAGATAGTGAGGTTAAGCTTAACAGCCTAAGTTGTTCGATAATAACAAGCTTGTCTTCTGGATGGTTAACAACCTAAGTTTGCAGACCAAAATTAGAGAAAAAGGAGGGCTGCAAGTAAAGCCAACATTTTGGCCCTGGCCTTCTAAGGTCAATTAAGACTAAGGACATATGAGAACTTATACTGTAACATCATGTAACTCGGTAGTATCCCACATTTTCTGATCAAGGAGATTATGGGGCCAAAGAGGAAAGTGATCGATGATGTAGAGTGTGCCTAAGGAGAGTCATGTGGGGAGAAGACATTCTCTCAGGCTTTCACAGAGAGCACATTGGCCAAGCAATGGCCGTGACTCATCCACATGGCTGTACTGACAAAGGTTCTACAATCTGAGGTACAGGATCTCAGGATAAATCCTGAGGGGATTTCACTGACTTTATCAGACCCAAAAGCTACCACTCTTGTTACATAGGTCCTGCTTTACCTTGGTCTTAACCATCCAAAAGAAAAGTATAAAAATGAAATATAAGAAATAAAGCCATGCTGTTATGTTGAGCTGTGGGGGACTCAGGTCAACAATTTCTGACATTGCCAGTTAAGTGGAAGACCCAATACTATTATGGGATACTGGACTCTTTTAGAATATTTTGCTGAGTTTACAACACCTATAATATTCAAATAACGGAACTTAACAAAAAAAGGGTATACAGATGTATGTTCATTTTGTATCTGTGTAGTCAAAGTGGTTAGGATAGATATATAGTTACATTCTGCTAAGGAATAGAATGATTTGTTCTAATGATGTTTGTAAATAGGATATCAAGTCCGCATCTTATACAGCAATTAACCACTAGGAAGAATGTATGCAGTGTGTTAATTATTGAAACTGTCCTAGCGATTTGATTTGAAACTGTCTCATTGCTATTTGTTTATCAATAAAACTATGGCAAAAAAAAAACCAAAAAGAAAAACAAAAAAAGAAGAAGAAGAAGAAGCTTCAGGGCTGTTATTACTGTGCCTTCATTTCTTTTCTTTCACTTTTTCACAATGACTGTCTTATTTCTATAGGCAAACCGGAGCCACTGGTATTCCACATTCCTCAGTCCTTTTTTGATGCCCTGCAGCAGAGAATATCTGTAGGAAGTGCAAAAAAACGGCTCCCCAACTCCACCACAGGTATGGGGATTCTCCTCTGGAACAGAAATAGGTGTTTTGACCTTAAAGAACATTATTTGGAACAAAAAATCCATGTGGAAGTTTCAGGACTGGGACCTCTAGTCACATGGACGTGAAGCGTTCCACAATGAGCTCTTAGGATTGTGACCATGCACTTCAAAGGCCCTTCACTTATCCCAGTAAGAGTTAGTGGAAAACATTAGGAAATGTAACCTCGCTAGAAAAAGAACAGCAAACAGCAACACAGGTGCCCACCAAGAAGTTTAATGTTTCTAGGTATGAAATACTTTCACAAGTGCATCGAAGGGCCTGTTTATTTTTAAGTCAGTCTCTTAGAAGCATATTATAGTGTATATAAAAAAACTGAAACTGCCAGGTGTGGTGGCCCAGGCCTATAATCCGAGGGGTTAGAAAACTGAGGCAGGAGGACCACTGCAAATTCAAGGCCAGCTTGGGCTACACAATGAGTTCTCAAGTCCAGGCTGAATTATATAGTGAAACCTTGTCTCAAAAACAAAAACCAAAAAAAAAAAAATTTTTTTTCATGATACCCAATTTTTGATGAAGGAAGCTTATGTCCTTAAGAGTAATTATTAGGCTTAGAATATTTTACTTTATTGCTTGGAACTGAACGTGCCCCAGTACTGAGCCACACTCCCTAGCCCTGAGACTGTATTTTATTATTCTAGTAGTTATATTTTGGTTTTATGTACCATCTTTCTTCTAGAGAGCTGAGGATCTCAAGATACTTGGTAGGTGTGCAATAGGTGAAAAGCCTTGCTCAGTGGCAGTGTTTCAAATAGTTATTTAATGTAATGTGACTTTTTTTTTTTTTGGGGGGGGGGGCTGTCTCAGGCTGCCTTAAGTGCAGGTCTGGTAAGGCATGGCGAGCTGGGGATTGAACCCCAGTCCCCTGCACCTGACTGGGTTTGCCCCAACAGGGTCTTAAACAACTGAGCTAACACGCAAGCCCCCAATTTTCCTTTTTCTTTTTTTCCCCTGACAACAATGTTTTCTTGAGGTTTAACCCTACCTTTTCACTTAGTAAGCTGTCAATCACTATATTTAGGGCCATAAAAACCTTTGAGTTCATAGCTCATCTAACTGCTGAAGCAGTATTGAGTCTTCCAGCTTAAACTCCAATTTAATTTTAACTCACCGCTTGCTGATTTTTCAGGGCCCTTTGGTGGCACTGCTTGTTAATCCTGCATGCAGACAGTGAATCAGCCATTGTTAGAAAGCTTAAACTGCAGGGAGATGGCTAAGTAGTGTAAGCACTTGCCTGGCAAGCACAAGGGCCTGCGTTCAATCCCTGGCTCCGCAAAAGAAAAAAAAAAAAAAGAAAGCTTAAACTCCAAGTAATTATATTGAGGACTATTATTTGATCTGTTGTGTCTACGGCTGTATGACTCTATTTTATAGTAGAGCCTTGTACACGTAGCTTTATCCAGCATTAAAGCAAGCTTCAGAGGTGGCAAAAATCTTGGCTTGACAGAAGTCATATAGCAGAAATTCATATTTTTGGCTTGTCACATATCTTTTTTTATTGAGAAATAAATATAAATGAGACAGTTTCACAGCTGATTAATAGGACAGTTTTGATAATCAGTACACTGTACAATGTTATCTTCTTTTTATTTTTATTTTTATTTTTATTTATTTATGTGGGGGGGAGCCAGCTCAGCCCACCAGAGGGTGCGGCTGGCTGGCATGTGGTGCTGGGGGATTGAACCGTGGTCCCTTTGCTTTGATAAGCTTGTTCAAATAGGTGCTTTAGACCACTGAGCCATCTCACCAGCCCCCAATGTTATCTTCTTAGAGGTTATCCATAGCACAAGAAGCAGACAGGATATTCTGTCCAAACGCTGTTATTACACCTCTTTCTTATTGAATTAAGTGAAAGTAGTTGTAAACCTATCCTATTTTTTATAAGTAAATACAAAATGATCTTTCCTTTGTATCTTTTTTTTTTTTTTT